AAGTTGTGGTATTAAAAGTACCAACAGGAGGGAGCTGAGAACTCAAGCAGCTAGCTATAACTCGTATCGGGTAGTTTTCCTTTGCTTTTGTTTGTTTTTTCCCCCCACGGGGGAGGGGGGTGGTGACTGCAGAAATTTCTATAAATTCTCACAACTTAGTGTGGACTAAAATCATATAAAATTTTTTTTGAGTTCTGTGAGGGTATTCTCAAAAACACCAGATAAAGACAGACAGAACATATATATGAAGAGTTCAGAGGCTAACTTTCAAAGGTTATCTGGTGTTATTTTTATCTTTCAAAGAACCAACTGGTATACAAATGAATTGGTAGAGAAGAACATTTTTTTCTGGCTTTTGTTTAGCTGGTGTTTCTTTTTTGCCTTCTTGTCTGTTTTATTCAGCTTCCTTACCGCTATCAGTTTTACCAGATTATTCAAGGTTTTTATCTAAGCCGACATAGACTTTAAGAGAGGCAACCCTCTGAGGGGCTTGGAACATTCTTTGAAAATGCCAAATTTGTGAATGGTGTCCTTTGGAAGTTTCTCATACACAACACTTTCGCCCTAAGAAGAACACTTCAATTACAGTGACCCTAATGCATTTTTGTTCTGCACTGTCATCTCAGTTTGAGGCTTCCAACTTTCAAAATGGTATCATTGTGTAAACCAAGTAAGTGCACGCTGTCGTTTGAATGGGAAAGAAAGCCTCCGTGGAGACTGAACATGAACACAAGAAGGACAAAGCCGTCACACATCTGTCCACAGGCCGAGATGCTGTCGTGGGTGCGGAAGTTCCCTTGTGCAGATGGAGGGCTGGTTGACGAGCTGAAATGACACACGGGGTCATCGGCATACACAAATACAACAGTTTCTGGAGTCCCACCTGTTGCAGTGTGCTCTTGGTGAGTGGGGTGGGGCAGGTTCGGCTCCCCAACAGGCAGACTCCCCAGCAGGAGGGGTCCAGTCGTGCATCCTTTGTGAACAGAGGCCTGTGGTTGGTTACTCATCCCAGTAAACCAAAGGCATTACGGTGATCTCAAAATATTTTTGGTCTCTCTACAAAGTATCGTTACTATGGTAACACACTTTTCTAAGCTGGAATCTCAAACCAAAGGCACTTTCATGCTAGAGTGCAGAAGATTCACAAATAGCTAAGTATTTGGTCATGAATTTAAAAGGCAACATTAAAAGTACAATTTACTCTTTGTTGTCAACTATTAAGTTGCAACCTTTCAGTTTTGGTATAAACATTTGAGAGTGTGGTCAAAGAACCAACTGGTATTCAGTTTCAAATTGTAGACCAAGACTGGAGAAAAATGGGCTTACCAAAATAAAAATGGAAACAATTTGTTTTTTTCTTCTTCCTGGTTTACATACTAGGCCAATTAGCAAATGAACATGGAGCACAGGTTTCAGAAAAGGCTGGTGGCACAATTAAGGTATCTCTAAGGCACTGCTTACTGGAACGCTTTGGCAGCTCTGAATTGAAAACTTCCTAAAAAAGTCACAGTAGTAAGAGAAATGCTTCCAGCTTACAAAAGGGCTCACAGTTCCGAGGCAGCCTTTTGCACTGCACCCCCTACATGCAACATCTCAAGAGATTTAAGGCTTTTCAGAAATGACAAGTGCAGGGCTTTGCCACAGAAACATCAACATAAAGAAATCAGCAATGCAGACACATCCTCCTAGTGTCACAGGTGTGACCACCAACAAGCCAAATTGGCTCTACCGTTCGTTAGGACAGGTGTAGTGTACCAGAGCATATAAAAATGTGTACAAATTATATGTACCTGGTTTGTCAAAGTGACTGTCATTTCATAGAATTCCAATAATTTACGGCTGTACAAAAACAAATGGCTAAAGCCAATACTGTATTGAAACCTACAGAAGACTGGGATTTAAAAGTCATTTGGGGACTTCTAACACCGAGTGCTCAGAATGTGGGTTGCTTTTTGGCTGGTGTGAGTGCAGGACTTTGCTGCTGGGATGCTCAGCAAATAGAAATTAGACTGAGAGCCTGTGGCAGGTGAATTGTCCTCAGACTGGACGAAAAGGCTCATCGGCTTTTCATATCTGCTGTGAATGTCGCCAGACGGCTATCATCACATAAGACACACCAGTGGGAAGAAGAGCATCAGGGCTCTGCTGTTGCTTTAGCAGAAGGGAATTCCTACTCTTCCTCTCTCTTCCGAAGTGACCTGCCCATGCATTCCCAGGGATCAGTAGCACAGAGCACCGAAGAAGAACAGCTGAGGAATTTACGGGTTAAGTGGCAGAATACTCCTCTCAGTGCCTCAGCTTTCTCACCTATAAATGGAGAGTACATTATCTGCTCTTTAAGCTGGACCCCCTCCCTCCTCGATTCCTAAAGGTGGAAAGAAATGTTCCGGTTGTTGTTGTTGTTGTTATGTGCCGTGGAGTCGGTTCCGACTCATAGCGACCCTGCACAGGGTTTCCGAGGCTGTTAATCTTTACGGGAGCAGAACGCCTCATCTTTCTCCCGCGGAACCGCTGGTAGTTTCGAACTGCTGATCTTACGGTTTGCAGCCCGATTCGTAACCACTACGCTACCAGAGCTCTGGAGGCTTCACTAAATTCTACACATAGTATTGATTGTAAGGCAGAAAGTAAAAACCCAGAGGACATTTACTGAAAGAAATAATGACACCCATAGGGTTTATGGGAAATAATGAAACTATCTGTATTTTTTTTTTTTTTTAAATCCCATGAACTAAAGGTTAACGGTCAAATTCGCAGCACTCTGATTACAGGGATGGGGATGACCAGCTATGCTCAGCTTTCCCCGAAGGAGTAGAAGAATATAGCAAGACAGAGTGTGTTATATATACAGTGTTGTTGTTATTAAGTGCCCTTGAGTTGGTTCTGACTCAGCAACCTTGTATAGGGTTTCCAAGGAGCAGCTGGTGGGTTTGAACTGCTGACCTTGTGGTTCGGAGTCCAGTGCTGATCCTACAGTGCCACACCAGAAGTTCTGAAATTGGGAGACACGTGGACACAATGTCACTCACTTAATACTTGTCTCTGATGGCCTGAGACAGGCCCTAAAGAAGATGAATATCAATGCAGGGTGAGATGGTGGGAAGAAGAAATCTTAGTTATAGTCATAGGGCCTGTAAGACCTAGGATAGAGTGGTTCTCAATTGTGGTGACTTTGTACCTCAGGGGGCATTTGGCAATGTCTCTCCAGACATTTGGGGTTGTCACAGTTGGACTGGAGGATGCCACAGGCATCCAGTGGGTAGAGTACAGGGATGCTGCTAAACATCCTACAGCACATAGGACAGCCACCCACAACAAAGAATCATCTAGCCCAGCGCTGAGGCAATGAAACCCCCTTGTCTAGGGTAGCTTGGATATGGCACTGCAGGAGAAGCATGGGCCTGCCTAACTGCAAGATTGATGGTTCAAATCCACCAATCACTCCTTAGAAACCCTCTACAGGGTCTCTATGAGTCAGAACTGACTTGATGGTACCCAACAACAACAAGGGCATGTTGGGAAGAAGTCCTGATTTTAATGGTAGACCACTAACTGAGGTGTGATGAATGTTCTTCAGCTTCTCCTCATTTCAGCTATGGAAACTATGCCTCCAAGCTCCCCAGTGGAAGTCTAAGATGTCCCTGAAACAAACCTGGCATCGGAGGGTCACCAGGAGATAGAGCACCTGAAATCAAACAGTGAGGCCAGGGCTTTGGAAAAGCTGTGTCTAGGTTTGGAAAGCTTTAAAAACAGGGGAGAAGATGACTCTGACACATGGGGTGAAGGACCAAAGAGTGACTTAAGTCAAGAGGCATGACCCAAATCCTACTCTAGGGTCTCAATGGAGGACAGTGAGAGGTCCAAGAGCTTAGGGAGAACATCTGTCCTGCATAAAGCTTTAAAAGAACAAGGAGTAAACACTGAAACATGTTAGTAATTTTTAAGAGCAACAAGTAGCCCTCAACCTCAGTTTCCATAAGCCCTGAGACTCAACCACAAAGGCATGAGAAGACAGTGGACCCTGGGGATGAAGAGGACCAGCTTGACCCAGTGAGTTCTGCAGGCCTCTGCAGCCAATAGTGCTGCCTTCTAGAGCAGGTGAGGGGAAAGCTTTTTCTGCCGAGGGCCATTTGGATATTTGTAACATCATTCACAGGCCGTACAAAATTATCAACTTAAAAACTGGTCTGTTACATTTGGCCGAATTTAATTAACTCACACTCACCAGCCACTTGTCGGGAACCCTATACAGGGTCTCTATGAGTTGGAACCGATTTGATGGCACTTAACAACAACAACAACACGATAGCTAGAACTGCGGTTGCCTTGGCAGGGTCAAACCAAATTATTTTGTGGGTCTTTTTAATTATTATATGGCCTGTGGACCAGAAATTCTCCACCTCTGCTCTAGATGGTCTTAGGTCTTCTTGGGTCCCAGTGATTTTTGTGCTTTGAAAAGTGATTTCCAAGAACCCTCCTGGCAGCACCAAAGAGCCCCATTTCTCAATGGGAGTATGTAACAGATGTTTCTCCCTCTGAGGTTCTGGGATGGCCTGTTTTTTTTGCCATGTAAGATAATTTGCATCCCTCAATAGTAATGACCATAGGAGACTGGGAGCTCTTCAGGAAAGATGTAGTAAACAGGAGCAAAAGAAACTTTCACTTTCATAAATGGTGTGTCCAATAGATGTCACTGTAAATGTGTAGAGGTCACTGTAAATTTCATAGAAATGACAATCTCAGACACCTGCGCTGAAGAGCAGACAAAAGAGCCAACAACTGCTATAATCAGAGGGAAGATAAACACTGGCCACCAGGTATAGGCACACGATGGATGTGCATTCCAAAGGGGGAGAGGTAAGCGCTGTCTCCTCTAGTTTTCTCAATGACCAGTGGCGTACAATTGGGAGAGGCCATGTTTGGTCCAGAGTGCTTTTCTGTCTGCTATTGGCCAGCGATAACCCTTATGCTCACGAATGCCAGATTTTGAACAAATGTACAGGCTGGGTCAAAGTGGGAGCTGAGATAGAAAAGGGACTGTGTGACTTCTATGAATGTGGTAGAATGTGGTGTTTGTTTTCTGGCATGATGAAAACAATTGTGGCTAGGTTCACAACTTACAAAATTCATTTCAGTGTGGATATGTTTGAACATATTCACAATAATTAAAAAGTTCTTTTCTTCTGGTAAATTGGGGGATACGTTCTTGTCCTCTATCCAATGAAGCACTTATAGAACTAACCCAAGACATGTAGCCACATTACACTGTGGAATATTTGGATTAGAAAGCTGAATCTCTCTAGGGAAGAGAACCTTCCAAATGAGCCTGTTTGAAAAGGTCAGAAATGGATAGCTGGGCCTCTTTACACAGCGAAATAAATGCTGTGACTTACTGAGAGATGTCAAGTAAATGGATGTCTTTAGAGCTAGCACACCGAGATCGATGGGCACAAATGGAGACCTACATACATATCAGCACCTAGCAAGCTCAGTAACACTAACTAGATGTTTAATAAATATGTGTTGAGTAACTATATCATGCCTACATGTATATATGTATACATATACACACATACACACATATACAAGTTACAGAGATAGCAGGTTAACAGGTACATGGGGTCTCCAGAAAAAAAGACCTGTCCACAGGCTGTTGAGGATGCAATTTTCCAGGAAGCAGAGATGCTAAAACCGATGAGCCTTTTACTTGTTTGATTGACAAAAGTTTTCACCCAGCCACAGGCTTTTCTATACTTTGCTGCTCACAGTGCAGTATTCATGCCAATTTAAAGTTCTGTTATGAAATTTCAGTGGTTCAAATAGTTAATAATTAAAAAAATTTGGTTGTCTATATAAAATATAACTGCACACACAAGACTCTAAACATTGTTAATTAAGTTTAAATTTTCAATATTTATCTACTTATTGCAAAGGAGCCGTCTGTCATTTCTCATTAAATAATCAGATCATCACATTAGTACAATATAATTTTATATTTTTAAATATACTATATATGTTAAGAATAAGGAGTGATGTTTTCTTTCTTTGTAATACCTGTTCCAGAGTTAACTTGGATTAGGAGATTAGTTTTAGCCTTGAGGAGGAAAAAAAAAAAAAAGTACAAATTTGTCTCATTAGGATATTTCTACCAAGCATTTCTTAAGGCTATATTTTAACATTTGGTTTGAAAACAGAAAGAAAGGTTTCATTTAAAAAATAATTTAGTGAATTACATTCTTTTAAAACTTCCACCCTAATTAATTACAAAGATAAGTCTAAAGAATCTTAGTTTTGTGTACTCATTTACATTTATATTTAAAGATTACTTTTACTTGTATCTTAAAACAAGAATTTTATGTTGGGGTAAAAAAAAAAAAAAAAAGAACTAAATACACTTGTATAAAGGCTGTAAATGTCCCATGGCAAATGCTCTGTCTTGATATTTTCTATCACATTTAGATACAGGTCTCTGCAGACAAAGAGCTGGGTTCTGAAGGTTCCCCTCTCCCGAGGAACTGTAGGCTGCAGATCTGAGGAACACACAGATACAACTCTATTTCTCGTTTGACAACTGTACCAGAACTTCACAGCTACAATGGTAGTATGAACACATGGAAACATGACTTCACTCAAACAGGATTTAGAAAAGGCGGGGGGACCTCAGGGCTAGGGCACCACCCCCGTGTGGTGGGGTTTACAGTCAGTCGCTCGATAATGGAGTGTGTATGTGTGTGCACATGTGTGTGTGTGCGCGTGTGTATATACAGATATCTATATATATAAATAACCACATTCAGTCCTTTACAAGCCTGTAAATATGGTGCTGTGCTCCGTGTTCACTATTTGAAACTTCAAATACACAGGCCATGCAGAGGAGGGTTTCTTGTGTATCCCTGTTTGTTACCACCTGTTAAAAAGAAAAAAAGTATATATATGTATATATGTATACATACACACACACACACACACATATGACTCCACACTCTCATCTATCTGTGCCATGACAGGTGACTGGAGGGGAATAGTCTTCAACCTGCCTGTAGATTGTGAGAGATTAGTTCAGCTTTACTCTAACCTCTCTAACACAATTTCAGAATAACAAGGGTCTCACTAGAATTCTGTCTAAGCTCGCTTACCATATGTAAGACCTTGCAGATATGGACTCACCCATAATTCAGGCCCAACAAGAGACTACAAGACTTTTAGTTCTTTACAACAGAGAGCATTTTTCCTGTAATTCTGTCCTACAGGAGAATCATTTATCCTGGGGAGTTGTCTCCTACCTTATTCTTAAACATTTACTGAGTTATGCTATGCTTGTCAATCACCAACAATGGGTATATCTCTGGAGAGTGTCACTCACCACTGTATTAACCAGCACGCCCAGACTCAGTGAAATATTTGGTGAATGAAAAGCACAGGTAAGAGACTACAATCATCTCAAATGATACTTCTTTGTAATTGACATAGGCTTTATCTTTCAAAATGAGTCTATTTCCTCTCTTAAACTGAGTCTCTGAAAGCTGCCTCTCTTCTCAGGCCCATGATCTCATTCTTAGTTCAGCTCTGTGCTCTCACCTTTCCTCCAGACCGGCACCTCAATTCCCCATGACATTCTCAGAAGGAACTCTCTAGCTGAAAATGTAACCAAAAGTCCTTACTCTCAACCCTTCAGTGACTTCCTTTTGCGAAACAGTTAAGACAATCCATTCTGAGATGTAAGTGGCCATTCAATCCAAGATTTGGTTGATACCAGGTGCTGGTGGTGGTGGTGTGCCCTCGAGCTGCAACTGACTCATAGTGACCCTGTGTAGGGTTTCCGAGGCTATAAATCTTTATGGGAGCTGAAAGCTTCACCTTCCTCCTTCGGAGTGGCTGGTAGATTTGAACTGCTGACCTCGTGGTTAGTAGCCCAGCCTGTGACACTCCCAGGCCTCCTTCGGTGTACTAAGGCCACTTAATATAACAAGATGTCAAACTTCACCTTCTGCTCATCTGAGTGCTAAAGCGATGCTAAAGCGATGGATTTAAACAGCAACAGAGTGCATCTATGTAATCAATCTGCTGGTACCCAAGATAATGAACTGCTCGATTTTCGTCACAAGACTGACAGAAAATGATAAGAATGAAGAATTATTTGTTGTTGTTATATGAGAGGGCTTCAAAAAGTCCATGGAGAAATGGAATTACAAGATAACTGAATTTTTCCAAGAACTTTTCAGAGTCCCCTGGTACATCACATTAGCTGCCTTTGAGTCAGCCCCTGACTCACAACAGACAGTTCTATGCACAACAAAACACCACCTGGCCCTTCACCGTCTTAACAATCCCGTAGAGAGCAGACTACTGGGATGCACTGGGTTTTTATCAGCTGATTTTCATAGTAAATGGGCAGCCTTTATTCCATAGTCCATTTTCTTCTGGAAGCTCCTCTGAAACCTATACAGATGCATAGCCACACGCAGGTTCCCACGGACAGCTGAGAGCTGACTATACATGAAGTGCATTGGAGGAAACTGAAGCCAGGTCTCCCACATGGAAGGAGAGGCATCAGACGCAGAACCTCCACTGCCCTCTGAGGTTATTAAAGAGCACTTATTTCAAATCTTTCCTCAGATTATTGCTTTCCAAATTTTAGAGGGCCAAGGACACATTTGAGACTCTACTGAGATTTTTCTCTTAGAATGGATGAAAACTGTGTACAAAGTTAGGTATCTACGAATTATGTGTCTGTGAACTAGGACGCTCATGTGTCAATCCCCAAGCACTCGACCCTGGCTGCACATCAGAGCTACCCTGGGAACTTTAAAAACAAAGATGATGTTGGGATGCTCTCAGAACTAATTTTTTTTTTTTTTTTTTTACAGCGGTTCAAACTCACCAGCCGCTCCTCTGAAACCCTATACAGGGTTGCTATGAGTCAGAACGGACACCACGGCACTTAACAACAATACTGTGAGAGCTTGGAAATGCCCTTGGAAGGAACATTTACACCACAGAAATTGGCAACAGTTACTAATTTGATTAGGGCTTCTTTGGGATTAAGGGAAGAGCTTTTTCTTTTAACTTCATATCACATGACTGAGATCACAAGACCCCAAAAATCCAGGTAAAAAAATTCCTGCTCTGTGTATTCTAGTTCTTAATTCTAGTAACAAGGTAGGCCTTCAGAGGACTGAATATCTGACCATAATATTGTCTTGCTGTCCCTCTCAGCAAAATGGTTTTTACTAAGTTATTTTAAGTTTTCCCTCAGCTTCAATAGGAGTATTATTTTTTAAACAAGTTTTATAAAAACCCATTACATTGTATTTTATAGGTTTAGATTTTAAGGACACTGCTCTTATTAATCTTCCCAAGTCCCCAAATGAAGCCCCAATAATAAATTTGTTTTGAAATTAAAAATTAGAAGAAGCACACTGTCTAGGGAAACTGGTAACTTTCTCCATCACGGATGTTGGACATATTGTTTTTTTTTTCCCTTTTCCTTTTAGTTGCCTATTAAGGTTGTTTATTTTTGTTGTTGTTTATCTTTTGTGGCCCACACTTTTCAAAACATTTTTAAATGACCTTCTTGATCACTGCATTCTATTTTAATTTGCATTTCTCTTAGAGCTGAGAGTTTACACTCTGCTGACTTATTGTATATGCTACATTCGGCAAATCCTTTGTGCAATGAGTCTAGGTATGTTTGCAACTTACTGACCCAACTTGTGCCGCAGTTTTGACCTGCGTACCTTGCTGTTGTTGAGACTTCAGTTAGTGGCTTTACACTCAGCTGAACATGAGTATTACCTGGAAATTTGAAGCAATCTCCATGCTTGGGTCTTATCCTCAAAGATTCGGATTTAATAATCTAGGCTGTGGCCTGGGTCTGCAGTTATTTCTTCTGTATAGCCTGAGCTGAGAACTACTGACCTAGGATATTACTTTTTAATATCCACCTGAATTCCAGTCTACCAAGCTGAAAAGTCCCTGTCTAGGAAGACCCTTTCTCTTTTATAGACTGAAACTCAAATCAAGCCTCGTGGCTGCTATGCTTTCTGACTGACCACCTGGGACCAAACCCAGCAGCCTGGTCAACTCCCTGGGTCCAGAGCCTGGTGCCTCCAAAGCCCACCTGCCTTTCTTTCCCCAACAGGTCTCATGACAGTCTGCTAGAGTTTCCCAAGACAGGAAAGAGTTGAAACTGTTACCAATAAAATTGTGAAGTTTTCCAAAACACTGTTCATCATATATTTCTCTGGTAAGTGTTTGAGCTTGTGGATGAAGTTGATCATATATTCACACATCGGGGAGCGGTTTATTCGGTATACAAATCGGCCATTCTCAAACCTTGCATACTCCGTCTGTGAGGGAAAAAGGAGTTGAGCATTTTTACATTTAACTTCAAAATGCATGAAACTGATAGTCCTGGCTGTGACAGCACGTCTCTTGAAAGTATTAATCATACGCTATGTGTTGTGCTGAATCCTGATGTGGCACTACAGGATCAGCACTGGACAGCTAACCACAAGTTTGGTGGTTCAAACTCACGAGCAACTCTTGGAACCGACTTGACAGCACTTCGCAACAATAACATATGCTGTAGTATGAGTGTGTTTCCTTAAAGACAATCCTATCTCCAAACAGTACAGTTCAGAGAATGCATTATTTTTTTCTTGAAATTATTTTTTTTTAAAAAAGTTGGGAAGATGATAGCGTTACAGGAGATTTCTAAATTATTTGTAGCAGAGGTCAGCATGCCTACTCTGTTACACTCAACTTGGGAAAGGTCTGCAAGAGCAGGCCCAGTGAGTCCCTGGTCTTCAAACAGCCCCAAGAAAAGCCCTTTTGACTGTGATAAATTAGTCTCAGAGCAGCTGGTAGGTTTGAAGTGCCAACCATTCGGTTAACAGCCTGGCACTTGAACCACTGTGCCACCAGGGCACCTCAATGGTCAGCTATTGTTCTCTTTAATCAAAACAAAATGTAAAGATATTGGAATGAGCATTTTGAAGATCTCATAGAAATACTTAGAAATAGAAACATACTTGTGCACATCTTACACCAAAGAGGAATTAAAAATCACAAAGTAGCTAGAAAGCAATGAGAAGGGAAATGTGTCAGAATTTATGGCACAAGACATGTTCTATTTGGAGGAGACTCATCTGAGCAGGCAATTTCACATGTCTTCATCATCAAGAATGAGAAATTACACAATGCAATACACATTTTAGGGGGGAAAAAAAAAAAGAGCCCACAAAATAATCTAAGGATAAAAGCTCAAATCAATGACACAGAAAATGTAGACAGGATCGTTTTAAAAGCTGTTTCACTGAAAAGTCAAAATAAACAAAACCACCATAAACTTAAAGAAAAGGCATACTTTTTTTTTAAGAACAGGATTAAAATGAGACAAGAGACAAAACCACAATTATGAAGAGATTAGAAGATTTACAAAAGATTTCTTAACACAACTTGAAGGGAAAAAGCTCAAAAGAACTGAAAATGTAGGAGACACAGTCTCACAGCAAAATACAAATTCCAACATTAAGCCAAGAATAAGTGGAAACTCCAATAAACTAAAGGCTTATGAAAGTGGCTAGAAAGCCATTTAGAGGTTTACCGTGGAAAAGATCAAATGTTTTCTTAGCTTAAATTTTGTGGAAGTCACTTCCAAAGTTATTTAAACCATGCCAGGCCAGAAAGAAAATTAAGTTTCTAATTCTTTTTAGGAATGTGATACACACTTAATACCAACAAGTGATTGATTATCTTTTTTTTTTTTTTTTTTAAAGAAAAGTATTGCTGTTTTGGTTGTTAGAAGATGCCAAAACTCTACATAAAATGTCAGCAAGTATTATCCAAAGTGGGACTTGTATACTTCAGGAATGCTGTGCTGGCTTATACATAAGAAAGGCACTAACCCAATTCATTGTTATCAGTAAATTGGAGAAGAAAAACCATACGTAGTAAGAGTTGCTGATAAAGCGTTTGAAAAAATATTGTAGCCATTATTAATAAAAACTTTTAGTACAATGGGAGCAGAAAGCATTTAAATGTACTGTATTAAAAAGACTATTTATAAAACACACACACACACAAAAACAAGTCCTGGTGTGGTGCTGTGGGAGAAGCACTGAATTCAAAGGCTGGTTTAAATCTTAAGGCCAGCAGTTCAAACCAACAAACAGCTTCTCGGAAACCCTATACACGGTCACTATTAGTGAGAACAGACTCAAAGGTACTTAACAATAACAACATTAAAAACAACAACAACAGGAATATAATCCTAGATTCTTTAAAACCAAAACAATTTCTATTAATAACAGCAACTACACAAAATATCTGCCATTACTAATATTTACAATTGCAGTGGAGGTTTTGGTAAATGAGGAAATAATTATAATAAACTCGCATAAACAATGGAGGAAAAAGGAGATAAAAACATCTCTTTTCGCTGCTGATATGATTATACAAAGTAAACCCAAGACCTTACAAAAAAGGTTACAAAGAGAATTTGTTAAGATGAGCAAATACAATCTACTTATGAGAGGGCTTCAAATAGTTTGTAGGAAAATTCTATTATCTCTTAATTCCATTTTTCCACAAGCTTTTTGGAGCCCCTTTGTATAAACACAAAAAGAATGTACTATTATAGAAAAAACAATAGCTTTTCTGTATTCCAGAAACTAGAATCTAGATATGGGGACTTACAATGACAAAATATTTATTTAGAGATCCATTTAATAGATATGATAAAAAGTATATAATCATATTTTAAAAGACATAGAGTAAGATGCAGAGCCCTGGTGGTGCTGTGGGATAAGCACTTGACCGCAAGGTCGGTTTGAACCTGAAGGTCGATGGTTCAAACTCACCAGCCGCTCCTCAGAGATCTTACACAGGGTCGCTATGAGTCAGAAGCGACTCAACAGCACTTTAACAACAGCAAAGTAAGATGAAAATGCAAACAGACTCTTGGTTGGGAACACTTTACAACAAGATATCAATTTTTCCCAAATTAATATCTAAGCTTAATGTAAGCATAATTAGATTTCCAAGCAAAGTTATCCCCCGCTTCTTTATGTTTTTAAAATGATTTCATTATTTGGAATAAGTGTTGATTATTAGCTTAGAAAAAAAATATGAAAAAGGATAATAATGAGTTTGACTTGCTTTACCAGATATCAGAATATATGAGGGGGCTTCAAAAAATTTGTGTAAAATGGAACTATAAGATAATGGAATTTTCCACAAACTTTTTGAAGCCCCCTTGTACTAAAGCCAATGTAATCCAATCAAAATGGTACTGAAATATACAGAGACAATTAGAGAATGAAATAGAATCCAGAAATAACTCCTAGTATATTTGGTAACTTAAAGGGGCAGGTCAGTTTAGTTAGAAAGGATGATCATTTAATAACTTGTTTGGACACAAATGCCTACATGGAAGAAAATATAAGCAGATTCCCATTTCACACCAAATACAAAAATATATTCAAGATGGATTAAAGTATTAAATGTAAATTTCTGCCTGTAAAATCCCACCACCTCCTGGGATTCTACCCATTAAAATCAGCCTTTCCCTGCTTCCTAAACTTATACACAGCTTTGGATATACAGCCAAATCCACGGGTTACTAATGACCAACTTAAGGAAAACTCCAACTTGCCTTTTGTTGTTGCTGTTACGTGCCACTGAGTGGGTTCCAACTTATCTAGGGTTTCTGAGGAGTGGCTGGCGGGTTTGACCTTGATGTCTAGCGCATTACGTATTCTCACACTGGAATGACTGAAGCAGCCCCTACTCGCAACTAATGCTTCACCACAATCACCTTCACTTGCTGCACGTGCAACTTTTAAATTTTTGAAAAGGCTGAGTCTTTTTCTGCACTAAACAAAGATTAAATCCACTGCCATCATAGTGACTCAAACAGAGACTCTTAGCGACTCGAACAGTTTCCGAGGCTGTAAAATCTTCATAGGAGCATGAAGCCTCATCCTTCTCCTGACAAGCAGCTGGTGAGTTTGAACAGCCAACCTTGAGGTTAGCAGTCCAGTTCTTGTAGTAAAGCAAGACTATATACAAACCATATGCACCTGTTTCAGTTTATTCTTTTTTTTTTTTTAATGTTTTATTGTGAGTTAGATGATAATTTACATGAGAGAACCTCAGTTCCATATTCATTCCATCGTATATCATTACATTGCCATGGTTCCAATCCCCTCCATGCATCGTCTTCCGAACAAAGGGCATATCCTAAAAGCCCGTGCTTTACACTCCCCCCTCTCCCCTCAGTCTTCAGCCCACAATTCCTCTCCCTCTCTGGATCCAAAGTCCCCAGCCGCTTCATCCCTTCATGTCACCATCTCTGTCTCCATCTCAGGCATCCCCAGTTCTCTGGGTGGGGTCCCGTTCTCAGCTCTTATCCGTTGGTGGTCCCAGAGACCTCCGCTCCTAAACTGGAGAAATAATTGCTCTCTTCCTTGCTACAACACATCTACCCTTGCATTTCCAACACTCACAATCTGTCTTGATAACCATTATTCACTACAGTCCAATTTATTCTTAAAGACAGTTAGGAACTGATTTTGTTGTAATATGGAGACTGCCTGAGAACCCAACAGGGAAAAATAACTGAGGAACTTATGTAGCCCATTTGTTTTTTGCACATGTGTCTACCCAAGGGGATGTCCCCACAAGCAGAGTAACCATCATAACTCAGCTTAACCTCCACCTCCCATGTTCCTTGCCTCTGATAAGTAGCTGTCTCCTTGTCCTCGGTGATGGAGCCATCTGGTTCTAAAGCCTCCACCTGTCTCCTTGTCCAGACACTGCCTCGCCTCCCCTCTCCTAGGGCTCCCCAGCCATTCCTCCTCCACTCTGGTCCTCAGCTTCTCTTCTGCGTACCCCTCCTATTCACCCTGGACTGTCTGTTGTCCCTCAAACTAATCCTTAGTCCTGTGCTCTCATTGTTCCCTCTCTGCAACTAGATCTCTGCTCCCATAGCTGGAATTATTCTTAATGGATATTTTCAGCCTTTCCCTCTCCCTTGGTTGTTTCCTCTTGGGCCCCTTGTTTCCTTATCTCTGCTGATAGGAGTACAGTCCTTCCACGTATAAAATGTAAGCACAGTCTCACTCTTCCTCTTCTTTTATAGATAATATCCAATCAGTTTCAAAGTTCTAGTCACATGACTGCCACACTCTGGTAAAGCTCACTCCACTAGGCTTTAACTGACAACCACACCAACTCATCTTCTGTCAGCACAACCCTTCATAACACAACTCGCACAAAACACCTCCTGTGCTCAGGAACCTATGAGAGCCTACAGCATCCAAAATCTCATTGTGCAACTCAAGATCTTAAAAAAATCCATGTCCCTGCCCCCCACCTCCACCACATCTTCTTCTCACTGCTCTGCACAATGCTTCGGTCACAGTCCGGCTTTTCACTCACAGGATAGTTTGTGTGCTGGGGGGTGGGGGTGGGGGACAAATACAAAGAAGGGGGAGGGGAATGGAAGAACAATGTGGATGGGAGAACAGTTAGGCAGGTTGGCATGGGCTAAGAGGGTCAGAGGTAAATAATGATGTATGCACAACCTTGGAACAACAGGGCTCTGGGATACAGGAATTGAGGCATGGATTGAATGGGTAAAAGAGGGGAAATAATGTTAAGATGCTTGGATATCTTTTGAATCTTGGTATCCCTTGCCTACCATTATAAAATAGGCACTTGAGGGGGAGAGAAAGGAATAGCCAGAAACATCACCATACCAAGTTTGTAAGTCCGTCTTCAGCCTATAACTGATTGGAATACCTAAACTGGGGTTAGAACTTGCCCGGTGAAAGAGGCTTCCCTAGGAGCCTTTGCATTAAATAAGACCACAGGTGGAATCCTGAACCCTATCCAGAATCTTCTGAAGTGGGCCATTTCCTCTTGGAAGGACATGCAGACCAGCCTGGAGTGGCTAGAAAAACAGAAGATATTTCGTGACAGAAAGACCAACAGGAAAAACCAAAAACAATAATGGCAGTCCAACTGACTACTACAAAAACAAGCAAGTTGTTTGCCCAGGAACCATCAAGGCAAGCGGGCAGGACCCTCAGGGCAAACCCCTTCCAAGACTAAGACTCAAGGGGAATACAAGAGCAGGCAGGCATGTGGACTTGGTCACGGGGGGTGGGGGAGGACGACAGCAATGAAGTTGTGAGCTAAGTCCGATCACGTTCAATAGACTCTTGTGAACCCAGGTTCTGACCTGGCTGGCCAGCAGTATGGCAAAACCTGGGGACTCGTGGGTCCAAAGTCAGAGACATGGCCACAGAGGACTAGAGTGAAGAGTGAAGTGTCCAGCTGATATCAAGTGAGGGGAGATGCATGAGAATACCCATACTTGCATATAGTACCCACTTGACCTGGCTTCAATGACTAGATAATTAGAACTCAACTAGAAGAAGAAAGAAGAGGCAAAAAAAGAATAATCTGCTATAATATGATGAACTTGACCTATACTTATGAATGTAGTAGCTTGAAAGAGGGAATGAATCTTCATAGCAAGGATCATTCCCACCCCCTCAGTACACAGGGTTGATAGGGATGGGCAACTTAGACACTGGTTACCCAAAATTGGGGGGGTTACAAAGGCAAGAAGTGACTGGCTTACAAACTTTCAAGAGGGAGCCTAGATCCAGAGGGCATGGAGGAAGGTAGAATCTCCACTGAGTAGTATCCAATCTGTCTGGGACGGGCTGATGAAAGGAGATGGGCATAAGGCTCTTGTGATACAATAGTGAATAATTGCTATCAGGACTGACTGTGAGGGTTGGAAATGTAAAGGTAGATATTTTGTAGCAAAAGGAGGGACGTAGTTGACTTTGCGGTCCAGGAGTGCAGGTCCCTGGAACCACCAAGGGAGAAGAGTGGAGTGTGGGACCCTACCCAGAGATGGAGGCAGAGATGATGACGTGGAGAGATGGAACGGCTGGGGACTCTAGATCCAGAGAAGAAAAGGGGTTATGTGCTGACAGCTGGGGGGGCAGAATTGCGGGGTATACCCTTTGGTTGTTTGATGATGCACGGAAGAGATTGTAATCATGGCAATGAAATGAAATACTATAGGATGAATGTAAAGCTAATGTTCTCCCATGTAAACTATCACATAATTCACTATAAAAACTTTTTTTAAAAAAAGAATATGGACCAAGTGAGTGATGGCTAGAAGACACTGGGATATCCACTTTAAATGGAACGACAACTAGAAACATTATTCACACACACAGCAACCCACTGTTTTTTAAAAAAAACATACATTGCTTAAAAGGGAAGAGGCATAAAATATGAAAGCCATAAATAGGTATTTGATCCCAATATTACAGAGTTTCTATGAGTCCTGGTGTGGTGCTGTAGTATAAGCACTGGATTGCTACAGAAAAGGTTGGCAGTTCAAACCCACCAGCTGGTTGTCAGTAACCCTATACAGGGAGACATGAGTTAGAATGGACTCAACTGCAATTAACAACAACGAGTCAGAAGGGAGTGCAGTGGCTTTATAGGATAAACAACGGACTGTGAACCACAAGGTCAGTGGTTCATGCCCACATGCCGATCTGTGAAAACAGGATGAGACTTTCTGCTCCTATAAAGATTTGCACCTCAGAAACCCTATACAGAATCTCTATGATTCAGAACTGTCTCCACTGCACTTAACACCAAAACAACAAATGAGTCAAAATCTACTAGACGGTGGTGCTTGTGTGCCCCCAAGTTGGATCCAACTCATAGGGACCCTGTATAGGGTTTCTGAGGCTGTAAATCGCTATGGGAGCAGAAAGTCTCATCTTTCTCCTGCAGAGTGACTGGTAGATTTGAACTTCTGACCTTGCAGTTAGCAGCCCAGCTTGTAAACCACTACGCTACCAGGGCTCCCTTCCTAAACAGTAGTGGGCTATATAATGAAGAATTTTCAAAATAGTCAAAACGAGGGGAGTGTAAATTGCAAAGGCCATATTATTAAACTCAAGGTGCCAGGGTTTTTAAAGGTAGATGCCAATGAGCTGAATGTCACCCTGCTCTTTTTCTAGAATTCTTGGAGTCCCCCTGGGGGCAGGGGCAGGGGAAGGACATTAGCAGGGCCCTCCTGTTTCTGGTAGGTGGCAGGTCTTATCTGTAACCCTCCAGCTTCCAGACCAGGGCACCCCTATGAGACCTCCTGCGGAGGTGAGCATTGCTGATCAAAAGCAGGGAAGACTTCAGAGTTCGAGGGCAGTGGCACAGAACATCCTGTTTGACTTCTCTCAGGTACTTTCAAATCATTTTGTCCCTTTCAGAAGTGACAAGAAAATGAGGAGAGGGAGAGAGGAAACATCAACAAAAGTAAAACTCCGTGTCACAACGAAGGCTTACTAAGAAGGCAATACTGTGCCCTTGAATGAAGGTTTCAGTACACACAGGTCAACTTACCTCTACTTTTTCTACTACTTGCTTCCCAAAGGAGCAAACTTTGGTGGAGCAGGTGACAGTCATATTTTCAGAACTCTCATACTGGCTGGTTACACCATAAAAAGCCCCAGCATCATCTTGAATATTGCAGTTTAAATCCGCCTGTTGAAAAGAAAATGACGGTCGGGTTATTCTCATCTCAGAAGCCATGGCAACAAGCAGGAACTGATTACACCCAGCAGCTTGGAGGGCAGCCGTGGCTCCAGCAGGTGGTGTTTATCGAGAAAGTAATCATCCTTGAGTCAAATTTTGAAGTGGGTGCTAATTTGGGCAGTCTTCCCTTGAGATGACATACTACATACATCTAGTTCATTTTACTTTTGTATATTCACCACCACAAAGCTATACCCTTGTAATAAAAGGTCCCGGAGGTCTTCGAAAGAAAAGTGTATGAAACAGTTTCTCTACAAAGTTTCTCTAGAGATTTTTAAAAGAACAGTAGAACTGGCAACTGGGCATTTGTTACGTTCATAAAAACAGAAACTTAACTAAAAATGACAGCATCTGGAGTGGAAAGATTCTTATTAAAAAGTGGCTGACAAATTGCTTAATAATGCAAATCATCACTCATTTAACACTGGTTTTTGTTTTTTTGTTTTTACTGTGTATCTAGTATGCACTATATGACACTTAGCTGCAATCTAATATGTAAGATAAGTGAATAAACTATAGTTCAGAGAGAAAGTAAGACCCATGTCAAAGGGACTCAGAGTTCATTCAGATGACGGGAAGTGTTGTTTTCAACTGGAGACATGACTGAAGAGGATATGAAGAGGCATTGGCACAGGGACTGTTAAGATTTGGGCCTGAAGGGAAGGGCTGGAAGGAGGGGGCACATATGGGCAGAAGACTGAGGAGCTTCCTTCTATCTGCTATGTAAGGACTGGGGAAAATCAGCTGCTGACCAGTGACTCCAACTCATGGTGACCCTCATGTATGGCAGAGGACTGCGCTCCATGCGGTCTGTACCAGCCGAGTGCTCCAAGGAGATGGCCAAGCCTTTCTTCTCAAGTGCCTCTGGGCAGCACAGCATGCCACTGTGTGTACTACCCAGGGATGCCAAGGAGACTGACAAGAGATGAATTTAGAAACACAAACTGCACCCAGTGCTAAATAGGGGTGTGGACTGTATCTGAAGGAAGTGGGGACCCCTTGAGAGTTTTGAGCAAGAAGTGAGGTGGTCAGGGCTGCGCTTCAGTGAGAAATCTCTCAGCATGGTGTAGCAGACATTAACTAGCAAGGGAGGGGGAGCTGCTGCAAATTGGGGTTGCTGTCAGCCCTTTTCTTTCTAGTAACTACTGGCCTCTACTATACAGCAGGGACCACTCTGTCTGCAGCTGAGGATACCACAAGGAGCAAAGCTGAACTGGAGCGGGAATGACATTACAACTGATAGAAGCACTCTTGAGAAAGGTACAGGGGTGTGTGAGAACAAACAGCAGTGGTGAGTGGGACCCCAGGGCTCTAGGACCTCCAGTGATGCAGCAGAATTCAAAGATCAGAGATCTATTAGGCAGGTGACACAGTCCCTGAGAGAGAACAGGATGCTCAAAAGGTGCTCGTCAGAACAGAGAAAACAGGGAGAGCGCATGGCAGAAATGGCTCAGGGGCAGAAGGATTTTGGTCTTATAGCCTAAGAGCTACAGCTTCTAAGGGAGTCCTGTGATATGGTTAAGGACTGGACTGCAAACCACAAGGTCAGTGGTTCTAACCCACCAGTTGCTCCTTGGAAGCCCTAAAGAGGGTTAACAATGAATAAGAACCAATGCAATGGCACTTAACAACAACTTGCAAGAGATGGCAGCAGGACACTGGTAAAGTATGGTCAGCTCAGCATACCCAAAAGGTACCTCTGACCAGTGCTTGGGGAGCACCCTGGAACAAAGACTATGGACAGAGACTTCAGGAGGTCGTTCTAACAGCCCTGTAAGAATAATGTGGTGCCCTGGTGGTGCTGCGTGTTAGGGTCTGCCGTTAAATCCCACCGCCACTCCATGGCAGAAAGATGAAGCTGTCAGCTCCCATT